GCTGTACTTTCTGAATGGACCATACATGCAGCAAAAGAAGAAGAATGTATTTGTATTACAGTATGTGTAGTCAAGTTTTAGGGCTCTATTGAATGCAAATGTACTTCAGCAATATTAAGGCTGCGTTTACACTACTCCGGTTTCATTGGAAAACAGACTTTTTGCCATGGATACAGCTTTCGTTTACACTAAAACACATGAAAACGCATACTTACCAGGAGACATTTGAAAAAGAATACCTAAGCAGATACTTCTGTAAACGAATGATAAGTTCAAAATGAAAACGCAGCTGGTGGATTAGTGTAAACACCTAAAACCAGTGATAGCAAAAACTATTCAGATTCAGTGGAGCGGAGTAGTGTATGGCTGTACTTTCTGAATGGGCAGCAAAAGAAGAAGAATGTATTTGTATTACAGTATGTGTAGTCAAGTTTTAAGGCTCTATTGAATGCAAATGGACTTCAGCAATATTAAAACTCTAAATCTATATTCCACCAATCAATTCTAATTTATATTATTTCTATGGTTACGTACTGTACATGTGCATATCATACTTGACTCATTGTTACTGATCACCTCAATCAAAGGTTTAGCCGCAACTGATCGTAAATCAACTTCTTTCTTTCCTCCAAGTAACGTGGTCAACATGTCCAAGTTTTTAAACTCTTCACCTTTTACCTTTTTCGAGACAGTAACTATAATATTACCTATTAAGGATGAAAAATTAAAATATTTTTTCAAAATCCTCCTTTTCAAAAATTATCGCCACACAATTAATGCCCATTCCTTAAGCTAGGTTTACATTTGACGAAACGGTCAAAAGTGTGTGGGTGATTTGACCTTTTGATGCAAAAATGCTTTGAAGTTGACGCAAAATTGGTCAAATCTCAATTCTGCATTTATTTGTGTTACAAGTGTAAACCAGGCTTTATTGCTACATACTTATACCTGTGCTAACTTCATACTGTGCTTTCTCTTCACCATCTTCTACCAATTCTCCTGAAAACTCTAACCTACATAATGTAATGATACAATAAGCAGTTAAAGTGTCGACGATTAACACTTAGTCAGTTAGAGTTAATTATAAAAAGGAACATATAGAACTTCTAATTATACGAACAAACTAAGATTCTTTTATTGTAGTACAGGGATCTTTTTAGGCTACAATTTTTCGTAGTCTAAAAATTAACGACGCTTTGGCATACCAAGGTGCATTGTATTCAAATCTACAAAAGTAATTTTACTGACTATTCACAAAAAATTTTCGGCAACAGAAATTTTTAGTTTGGTACATGTGTAATAACTATTATTGAACTTAGTAACTATTACATCATGTATAATAAAGCTGCAGCTAAACACAAAATATATAATTATAATAACAAGCATGTACCCATGGATGTAACAAGTAACAATGGGTGGTGACAAAATTAATACTTACCACAAATAATAGGGATGGCAATGAAACTTGAAGTTTGTCCCATCAATGTCTATTTCAGCTTCAGATATCTAAACCATAATGATAGCAAACCAAAGATAAGAGGATATCGAATTGCTATTTTTACTACTTTATTATTACGCGGCGCCACTTCATAAGAATTTCGGCGCTGACTAAAATCACAATCCTTACCTTCACATAAGGTACTCTAATAGTGAGTATAATGCTCTCCTTATCCTGTCTTGCTTCGAATGATGGAGTCAACATGCTTCTTTTTATTACACTTCATTAAGATTAAAATAAATGAAATTCATGACTCATAAACTTGAGGTCACAGAGTCTGCCTGAGTTAATAGGTGCAAAGTTGAAAAAATGGCAGTTCCAGTTCCCCCTCCTCCTCCCCCATGTCCCCCCTCTCTCCCTTCTCTTTCACCTCAGGAAGATGATCCAATCATTATAGACCCTCCTAATATCCAATCTGAGCTCTACAATATAATAGAGAGAGATCATGCAGTTTCACTGGACACTAATTCCTCAGAGATCATTACAGTATCAATACTGCATCAAAGCCTCAGACCAGTCCTGCAGAGAAACAGGCCTATGTGTGGGCTGGTAGCTTTGTGTATGGCTGATCAAATAATTCACAATGATACAATATGCAAGGACCCTATGGAAGTACTGGAGATGTCACGAGAAGCAGGTTTTAGCAGGCAAGGAGAGATATTGTCATC